GGGCGCGGGGTCCGGGCAGCGCAGGCTGCGCGCCGCGCTGCGCACATGCGCGCTCCCGCCCCTCCTACCTTTGACAGTTTGATGCGGGGGAGGGGGCGAACTCTCGCGGTATTCCTGCGGCCGCCGCGCGACGGGGAGGGGGCTGCGGGGCTGCCTGCGCCGCCTGGCTCGGGGACCCACTGCCCTAGTCCGTCGGGCCTGTATCGCCAGGGAGCCGTCTTGCTGTCCTCGGGGCGAGACGTGTTTTGTGGACAGTGGGATAAACTGAGGCAAAGGCGCCGGCCACTGTACGGACTCCTGCGCGCAGGGCCGAGGCGACCCAACGCCACCCTGCGCTGGTTGGGCAGGTGCAGAGGGAGGCCTGCACGCTCTGGGACCCTAGCTTCACCTCCTCCCGCCCCGCTAGGACTAGCCGGGCCTGTTGGAACCTTCCCCCCAGTTGGGCCTGTGGCCACCTTTTGTTATTCTGGCCACTGCCCGAACCCTGGAGCTTTATCCAGACCATTGGATCGACCCTGGCGTGGGCCGTGGACCTGCACTAGAACCTGCGGGTGTCAGGGCTACCGGCCGCAGGCAGCGCCAGCCTACAGGGCTTAGGAATGAAGGAAGCACAAGAGACGATCGCATCTGTTTGTGGTGGGCCTGGGCAGCGCCAGGTACTGGCTGGAAAGGGAGGAGAGAATGTCTGGGGTCCCTACAGGAAGCAGGCAAGGGGCATCAGTCTCTTCTAAAGAGATCTGTGCTCGCATGCCCAGAACACCCTCCCGAGAGTGAAGAGGAGACCTTGAGTTTTATTTTGTGCCGACAATGTTGTTGAGATTTTTAAAATCATGTGCATATGTTATTTTTATAACTAAATCTGGCTTTTAAACATTTTTTAATGTTTCTTTTATATTCCACAAGCACTTTGGCCTCCTCAGAATTGGTGTGGGGTAGAAACAGCTCACTGGGAAAAGGAGTTACAAGATGTAATTCCTTCCCGGGGCCCTTCCTGCTTGAGACCTCCCGGCCTGCACTCCTTGGGCAGGCTCCCTGCACTACTTCAAGGCAAGGCAGAGAAGGTGTTGGCAGATTTTGGGTCCACCTCTTCTCAGTGCAATCTTGGGATCTGCTCTGCCCTTGGCCTGCATAGAGTGCTTACCTGAGACAGAGGTGAGGTGCCGGCCCTCTGTAAGGGGTCCATTGGTGAGTCCTTCTTTGGAAATCTGAGCCAGAGAGAGGCCGGTGTGAGCCTTCTCTCTCTTTTTGACCATCCTCACCTTGGGGGCAGGACTAGCAGGATGTTGAGAGGGGTCAGTGTGTGTTCCCCTGAAGTACATCCAAGGTCACCAGCTTTCCACAGATGGGATATGTCAATTTCTGTAGACAGGTATGTGTCTGAAGTGATCCTGTGTCCAGCAACATCCACATTTGGACAACCCAGTGACGTGGCATATCTGGGTCCCATATTGGGTGAAATCAGCACTTACTTGTATGTTAGTATCCAGATGACCGCACAGCAGAGTACTTGGGGTGGGGTCATCTAGATCATAGCATATGTGTCTAGGCTGTGGTATCTTTGTATGTAAATATCCATGTGTCAGGATATAAGGGACCAATTGTTTTCTGTATCTAGATGTCATAGTGTCGTATAATATAGTGAGTTTGTGTGTACTGTGCGTGTGCTGTGTCCTTGTTTCTGTATGTTGGGGGATGTCACTGTTGTACAACAGTATTTCTGTGTTTGGACACTGTATATGTGGAGTGTTACTTACCTTTGTGAGTATTGGGCTTATGTGCCTGACCAAATACACAAGTGTGTTTGGATGTGCTAGGACACGTTGGGTCTGGATGTGTGTCACTGTGTTTCTGTGTTAGTGTTTGATGTCCCTGTGTTCCTATTTGTGTATCTGGTTGCTATGTGTTGTGTGTCAGAGTGTGTGCTGTGGTCTGTGTGCCATTTATGTCAGAGTACTGCCTTGTGTGGGAGGCCAAACAGTGAGTCCTAAGAGATGCCCAAGTCAAATCCCTGAACTGTGAAGGGAGGGACTTAGTAAAAAGGCTCTTTTCAAATGTGATTAAGGCTCCTGATCTGGATTAGTAATCCACATGGATTACTCAGGTGGGCCCTAGATCCAAGCACCCTTATAAGGAGAAGACAGGGAGATTTAACAGAGAGAAGAGCAGTGATGTGACACAGGGACAGATTGCAGTGGTGTGTTCTTGAGCCACCAGTGCTGGAAGAGGAAGGATTCTTCCTCCTATCCCCACAGGAGGCTGGTCCTGCTGGATTGCAGTTTTGACCTCCTGGAATGGAATCACTCCCTTCCTTCTTTTCTTCCTTCCTTTAACCCTTTCTCTCTTTTTTATGCTGGGGTTTGAACTCAGGGTCTCACCACATGCCAAGTATGCACTCTACTACTGAGTTATGTCCTCAGCCCCATTCTGTTGTTTGAAGCCACCAGTTTGTGGCCTTTTATTAGAGCAGTCCCAGGAAACTCCTACACTACATGTCTGGGCTGTTGCTTCATGCGTGTTCTGTCCATCACTGGGGTGCCATTTATGTGGCCTATTTGAAATCCCTCAGTGTCCTAGGGTAACAGCAGCCCCTTCCGGACAGGACACCACTGCCCCCTGGTGGTCCCTGGGCAGGTCGCTGGGCTGGACATCCCCTCCCAGACCCAGAACTATGGGCACTTGAGAACAAGGTTTATTTCTTATTTTTTGTCAGAGTATAAAAAGTGAACAAAAAACAAGGAAGACAAGACAGAAGCACAGGATGGGCAAGACAGAGCAGGGAGTAGGGGGCTGCAATGGGCCTTCTGGCTGAAGGCTGATGGTACATAGGGGTACTTCAGCCAGCCAGGCCCAAGAAGAGGGTTCCCCATGGGTGGGGGCACAAAGGGTGGGACATGTCAGGCCAGTTGTCCAAGTTTCACTTGGGATCTAAAAGACCAACCTGCAGAATCACGGTCAACTCAGGACACAGAGAGAACACTGGAGGCGCAGCCTTACTTGTCCCTGAGACTTTCCGAGTCCCCAGGGAAGTGGGAGAGGCAGAAGAAGCAAGACGGTGGGGACTTCCAGGGCCACCCTCACTGTCCCTCTTCTGGGCAGCACCAGTTCCAAATTTGCCAGGGAGAGCTGCCCAGACATCTGGTGGCAGACACAGTGGGTATGGCCCCCTGTATAGTCTCTCCTGAAAATCCAGGTTTTGGGAAAGGGGTAAGGGGAATACCCACATGCACAACTGCTACTTGAAAGTTAAGTCCAAGAGCCAGGGAATAGGGAAGATGCTTAAATGCAAGACTCTCCTGTAGGCAAGGCCAGGGGCACCACCTAACCTGGTGGGCACTGGGCATGGAGTCACCTGCATAGGGATAGAGTCTTTGTTGTGCCAGTTTGGCCTTAGGGGACTGGGCATCCCAGCCCTTTCAGCCTCAGTTCTCAGAAGTAGATGTGGGTATAGCAAGGGTTTCATAAATAATGAATGCTGCTTCAGTATGATGCCCAGTGGGGCAGGTGCTGATGGCCATTACTCTGGACAATGGGTTGGGCTCGCCAGGCTCTGGCAGGGGTGGGAGAAAACACAAGTGAAAGGGAACTGATGCACTTTGTCCCACTGTGTAGCTCATCTGGCGGTGCTGGGGAGGACACAGGACTGGAGAGATGCCAGGTAAGGGAGTTGGTCACATGATTAAGGGAACATAAATAAAGAGACTCCCTTGGAGTCTGGAGTCATTCAAACCCCACTCTGGCTCCAGGCAGCTGACCTTCGGCATGCTGCCAGCAGCACCAGGGGATGGGCCTGGAATCAAGTCCCTGGAGGGGGCCACATGCAAGTAGCCTATGCCCACCTGGCCCGAGGGTATGACCTGGAGTGCCTGACCAGAGGCCCCTGGAGGTGGCAGTCCTGGTCCTGCCTGTCCACTGGGGCAGGCTTGGCCAAGATGGCATCATGCACGGTCCAAGAAGGGCTGCGGGGCCAGCTCTGCCTCATCCTTGGCCGCAGGTCTTGGTCACTGGTCACAGTGCTGGGGTCTGGGGTTCAAGCCTTGGCAGCAGCTAGGACATGTTTCCAAAGGAAGCTGTGGGGCAAATGGAGGTGAGGAAGGTGCAGGTCCCTGCCTCGTCCCAGGATGGTCTGTACTGGACTCCAACCACCCTCCTGTGGTCAGGCAATTCAAACTGCACTCTCGGCCCAGCCCCCCAGGTCTTAGGCACCCCTGGCCTCTCCCACTGACCTTGGCTGAGCAGCTGCAGGCTCCGCCCCTCCTCACGCACCTGCAGGCGGAGCACCTGCTGCAGCACCTCCTGCCTCTGGGCCTCCTGTGCCAGCCCCATCCGCTGCAGCTTCTCTGCATTCAGCCGCAGCAGAGCCCGGCCTGGGGAGAAGGAAAGGGCCCAGTGGAGGCCAAAAAAGGTGTAAAGGACCAAGGCAAAGACCAAGAGACAGAGCAGGTCACAGGCAGAAACTTGGAGGGGAAGGTAGATGGAAAGACAAGGTTGAGCAAAAGACAGAGGCCAACCAGAGAAGCCCCAGAGCAGAGAGCTGGGGGAGACAGAGAGAGAGACACAGAGACAACAAAAGCCCTCAAGGGGGAGTTTGGCTAGAGGAGCATAGTCAGAGGTGGAGACAGTCAGGCTGAGTGGGCACAGGCTCTCCTAGGCTTCCCGGCCCCTGCCCTACAACAGCCCCACCGTACCAGTGATGGCATGTTGGGAAAAGGCCTCCACGTAGACGAGGTAGTTGTGAGGACAGTGTTTCTTGAGCCACTTGCAGACGTCCTGCTGGCTCCACAGGACTACAGGCCGTGTCAGCCCACCCAGAGAGGGGCTTGTGTGGTACAGGCCATAGTGGTCAGAGTATAGCCGGCCCTGCAGGGGGAAAGGATGGCAGGTAGCAGGAGGGCAGGAAAGCAGGTAGGGTAGGGGCTGAAGTTAGCAGGATGGGTGGTACCTGTGGGGTCTCTGTACCGGGCTGCTGCAGGAGCTTGATGGGCCTGCTGCTGGATGCCCTCTGGCTACGGGAGTCGTGCCATGTGAGGCTGGTGCCTGGTGTCCGAGGTAAGTGGCAGGGTATGCTCTCAGCTGACACTGTGTGCTCCAGAAGGGTCCGGCAGAAGCTGAAGTGGGCAGTGGCTGTGTGCCAGATATCCAGTCAGGGCTGGCACACAAGCCTCACATACACCATACCACAAGATGTGTCTTTCATGGAAAAGGCCAGACCCTCTGTCCTGGGACACTCTGTGGTTGGGAGGTCTGAGGTTGCTGCCTGCCATTACCACTGAAGGTGTCCAGTCTCTACAGCCATACCTGATGTTTGTGGTTTGACCTCTGCCTCACCAACTGCATTCACCAACTGTGACTCACTGACAAGAAGCCTGAATTCTGGGCAAGCAGACAACAGGGACTCCCCAAACCCATGCTGGGTCTTCCTGCTGTATTGCCCCTGCAGGGCCTAGCCAGGACAGCATGTGATCTGTAAGTGTCCACTGCCTGTGGACTGTTCAGGACAAGTGTGTGGAGTGCAGCTACCTCCTGGAGAACATTTTCCCATGCCAACTTCATTACATTGCTCATGTTTTAGTTTTTGTTTTGTTTTGTTGGAAACAGGGTCTCTCTATGTAGCCCAGGCTGGCCACAAACTCACTCAATTGTCCTGCCTCAGCCTTCTGAATGTTAGGGTCAGGCATGTATCCCCATGCCTGGCTTACCTCATGTTTTAGTTTTATAGTCATTTCTGGGATCAACATGACTTGCATCTGGCAAGGGTTAATGGCTGGGTGAGACCTTCCCATCCAGGCTGAGATCGCTAACTAAGGTTCGTGCACTTCTTGGTATGCAGGAAGTACCCCATAAGTACAGTAAAAGATGAATGAGTACACAAGTGAAGTCTCTGTGTGGTGTCTGCAAGTCAACAGCTTGTGGGGAGAAAGGAAGGTGAAGGTCGCCACACATACATCGACGCTCACCCCCTAGAGCCTCCATGCAGGATGCGTCTGCAGGCAGGATGAGGTTCCCGTGCCGGAACCTTGCTTACTCCCATGCCCATTCTGTCCACGTGCTGAAAGGAGCTTCCTTTCTAGTCACCCAGTCCCTCTGCACTGTGGCCAGCTCTTGGATGTGTCCAAGAGGTTAATAGGGGAAACCCACGTTCTGCTCCCCTGTGTTCCACCATGAGACTCCAGGGGCTCAGCATCCTCTATCCCCCATTCTTGCAACTTCCTTTCTTTCTTT